TCTGCATCTCGATTTTAATGACCGATGCCTGTAGTTTTTAATCCTTTAGGTAACAGTGACAGTTACCAAGGAACACCCATCAGCAGTTTCTTTGCATAGCTTCAAGAGGAGCCACCAGGGCCAGCAGGTGATGTGGTGGTTAAGGCACTGGACTCCCACATGGTCGACTGTGGTTCAAGTCCTGGACCTAGCAGCTTGAAAATCATGCTGTGTATGTGTGTGTGTTTGTGTGTGCGTGCGCATGTGAGCGCCCCAAATCCCAAGAGAATGGAGAAGAGATTGCAGTGTGGCCATCCTCCCTGGGGATGATTTCTCACTTTGCTACTCACTGTCTCTTTCTCCAGCAAGCAAACACTTAAAAAAAAAAAAAAAAAAAAGAATAGGCGCCATCAGAAGGACCGTATGTCAAGAAAGTCTCTTTTTCTGGAGTTTCGGGCCTCGTTTTTCTAGGGCATTCTGGTTCATACAAAGTATACACTGTGGGCTGAGCATTCTCCCAGCCTTGTGCTACGTCCTTAGCACCTACAACTCCAGCAGGCTTACCAGACAGCTCACAAACAGGGGCCCACTCTGGACAGAATGATTAAAAACTCAAGATTCTGAACACCAACAGACACACTGAAGCACCATCGATTTCAAGCTGAATGGAACTTGCTAAATTTGAAAGTGCACTCCATTTCTTTTTCCCAGAGGGAAACCATTTTGAATCCCAAACTGTAACTCTGCATTTATGACAACTGTTAAGTTTAACAAAAATGGAAGAAGTTGTCTAGTCAAAGGTGATCTACACAAATATTTTATTTGATTCAAGGCATGGTTGCTCCAAAAACGACTCAGAGGCACAAATTTCAACTGCCCAGAGTGAATGCAGTGGCCACATTTTAAAATGTCTACATGTAGTATGAGGTCAAGGCTGACACTGAATAGGCTACTCCTCTTTGTCCTGGGTCTCAAGTATATTTTTAAGTTGTGAAAGATGAACTCAATAAAATCACTAATCACCTGGCAAATAAAAAACAGGATTCTAATGCTGTCCTCTTCAGCGATTCCTGGCTCGGGCTACAGGACGGCTTCTTACACGTATTGGTACTCACCTTTCGCAGACCAAGGGTGGGGCCTCACTGGAAGGGTTCTCTCTGGAAAGCTGAGCCTTGCCTACCCTAACAGGAGTTTGGTGCATCTGAGAAGCTGTGGAGAATTAAGCACTTAGCTGGAATAGGAAAGGATGCTGTTCTACGGTTCTGGGACGTAGAAGCTGAAATGGGGCCGGGCTGGGGAAGGCAGGCAGAGGTGAGTCAGGCTTAATCAGGAACTCGGCCTGACTGGGACCCGAGTGTGGATTCCTGATTTTCCATGGTTGAGGTGACTATTTTGTACTTTCAGTATCTCATCTCACCCCTTCTCACACACACAGAGATCTTTATTATGTCCCTAGTCCTGTTTCGACTCAAGGCTTTTCATCTGCCATTCAATTCTCACTCTGTAGCTGTAAAGGGGATACTATCAGGTCGTTGGGAAACTCATGACATGCTTTTCTATGCGAAAATGTGTCAGGACTTTCCCAGCGACCCAATATATTCCCTTGGATGAGAAAACGGGCTCAGAGGAGTGAAGCGACTAGCCCAAGGTCACACAACATTCAGGAAGACAGCTATTTTTTTATTTTTTGAGAGGTATTTTGCTATAGGGCACGTGCGCTTACCAGAAAGAGAGATAGAAAGCAAGAAATCACCTCCCAGGGGTTATGGCCACGCCGCAATCCCTTCTCCATTCCACTCTTGGGATCTTAGGCACGCACGCACGCACGCCAGCCCGGCGTGAGTTTAAACCACCGGGTGCAGGACTCAAACCACGTTCGACTACTTGGGAGTCCAGCGACATAGCCGTTACGCCAACTGCTAGTCCTAACACAGCTATCGTTTATTAAGTCCCCCCTTCCAACGTTTTCCTATCACTTCTCCTGTTTTTTAAAGAAGGGATGTTGCAGTGGTCTAGGACTTGACACAGTGCTTATTCTAGTAGCCTTGATCCTTCAGTCGCCCTGAGGCTGGCTTCATGGCACAGAGGTGACGCGCTGCTCAGGATCTCACATAACCACCATGGCTTGAAGCCCTGGCCTGGTCGGCCTGAAACACACGCCAAGTGTCCAAGCACGTGCCCAAGGAGGAGGCCCAAGATCTGACAGGCTGAGGACTGGAGGAAGGGGATCTGGCAAGACCAGGGTACTCATCTCTCTCGTTTGCCCACACGCACTCTTTTATCAATGAAGAAAAAAGTCTAATAATTCAATAAAGCTCCAAGTAGATCTATCGTACAACTAAGGAAACTGGGGCTCATGACAGGCTGGTGGGTTGCCGAAGCCATAGAGTAGAAAAGCTACAATCTGACCCAGGTCTCTGGCTTCAAAGCATTGCCTTTCTCACTGAAATGCTGGGTCAGCTTGCAGAGAAGTGCAACAACTCAGCAATTAGCTGCATCCTGAAAGCCATTTCCTGGAGTGACTATAAACATTTCAGTCACTGGAAAATTAAGGTCTGATGCATGTGTCCACATTCAGAGAGGCTGGAGGGACATGCAGCGACACCATACCACACCACACTACACATCCTAAGCTTGCCTCAGCTCCCCGGAAGGCAGCTTCGTGCAGACAACTGCCCTTGCCCTCAGCCCACTTCTGGCACAAGCTCACCAATGAAGTCGAACTGTCCTGGAAGACAGGCAGCCAACATGGCAGTTTGGTAAGCCCCCTCTCTTATCAGAGTCATAACAGCACTGAGACCACGTACTCCAAACCTGCAATCCAGGGGAAGGCAGTAGTAATGACCTAACCCCAGATGAACTACTCTTGGAAGAGGGGCAGACTGGCCTGGCCTCCACTGCTGGGGTGTGTGGGTTCCTGTCCCAGGAGTGCTAGCATAACAGCATCTTTCTGTGCTCTGCCTAGCAGTCCATGGCATCACCCCGCAGGCTCACTGGAGCAACTACTTGGGGAATGCTCTGTTGCTTCCACCCAAGACCAAGTGGTACTTGCTGTGGCTAACCCACACTCCAACCAGCTACAAGTAAACATTTGACACAGAGTTTCTACCAAGGTCATTCTTTGTGTGTGTGTTTTGTTAAAAATGCAAATGTTTCTCTCAGTGTCTTTCTTTACTTGCCCAAGGTCATTCTCAGGCTCTGAAATGTGCTTGTATTTGCATGGAGGTGGGAGGTGGAGAGAAGGGGGAAACAGGCAGAGTTTGGTACTTTTCCTGCCTCCCTTCCTAACAACGCGAAGGTCACACCTGGCATGCTTCCCAGGCTATGGAAGACTGTAGTCGGCCCTCCCCTCATGCCTAGGGTCCACAGTGAGACTCCTCATCACTTCAGCAGTGGGGACCTGAGAAGATGTGAAGGCATTCTGAAGAGCAGGGAAATGTGATCCGGTCTAGACAAAACAGGTTCGAGCCAGATCCCAAACTGAATCTCAGCTCCATCACTTAGTTTATGTGATCTTGGTCAAAAGATCTTTTTAAGTCATCTATCAACTGGAGATGGAACCTTCCTCATAGATGTGTTTTGAGGACTAACAAACCAAGTTCATAATAAGAGGCATCAGTATGTCCCCTCTCTTCCCACCCCTTCCCTTCCAGACAACCTCTCCTCATAGTCTCCCCAAACCATAGGCAATTTGTCCGGCTTGGAACAGGGCTCTGCCGCTGGTCCAAGCACATCTACAACCTAAAAAAACAGCCTGGCCATTTCAGAGCTTGGACGGTGCTAAGAAAGTCAGGCCACAGAACAAGCTGATGGCAGATTACAAAGCCCCACAAAGAGGGCAAGCTTAATTCCAGATGAGACTCTGGCTCCTCATAGGGCATGCCACGTCCCTGTACCCACAGGATTTTGGTTTAGGCAGTCTGACTTGGTCTATTCTGGGCTACCAAGAGAGACAGGGTGTAAAGTACCTAAGCACCTACTAGGTGCAAGTGTTGGACTCACAGTGGCTATTATTTCAAAGCATCTACTCACAATTTACTGCTATATGCTATTTCAGACTAATATTATTAACAAAAGCAGATCCTCTGTGAGAAATCCTGAATGGGTTTAAAATAATCAAATTAGCTCAGAAGTTTTATGAGTAATGTACATGGCAACTACAGGGCACATGCTCTTCTCTTGTGTGTGTGTGTGTGTGTGTGTGTGTGTGTGAGTCAGTCTCCATGTTGAATAAATGCCTCCTTGACAAATGGAGAAGAGACAATTATAATATCCCATTGAAGTTGAGAAATAAAGTAACCTCTGTTTATTTTTTAAACAATAACCAGGCTGAACTGCACTAATCATAACATTTTGAAGGAAATAAAACAATATTCAACATTTCTAGTCTATAAATAAATAGTACCCTGTTTTACTTACTCTGTTAACCAAAGATAAAGTCTGGAAATGAGAAAAACTGGATAAAGCTCGTGGATTTAAAAATATCGGACATGGTATCTGATTCCAAGAAAATGAAGACATAAATGGAAAAAACGGCTACAACAATGAACTTAGTAAAGGGCGACACTTAAGGGCTTAGACATAAAATTTTACATGTTTCACTAGACAGACTGAAAACATTTCTCAAGTCCTTAATTACGAGAACAGCAGCAACACTTAAGACCAATAAAAACCGGCATTTAAGCATATGCCGTATTATTAGGAATAAACACAAGAGGACTGGATCCGTGAAGCCCAAGAAAATCCCAATTACTATGCCACTGTGGCCAATGTGCCCTGGCTCTGAGGTTCCCTTTCAAATAAACGCGTCCCCTCATTCTGGGTGGAACAGTATCTTCGGCTAGCACAGCCTGCGTGGGCAAAGATGTTACAGTTCACGGCTGCAGAAGTCTCACTGCCTAAGGGCTACAGCACATAGACAACTCTGTCTATAATCAAAACAGCAAAACCAGGCTTGGGTGCACCCTTTCATGTTACAAACACATATCAGAATTACAAATTACGGAAATAAAGACAAATAATGACATGAAGGGCATGATAGTTTATTTTAAAAAACTGTACCACACTGATCATTAATGACCAGCATACAAATGACAATGGCTTTTTTTTTCTCTTGGGTATTAACATTGCAGTATTTTTATATACTGAAATGTTTCAATAGGACCAAGAACGTTAGAGAATAAAGATCTTAGATGAAGATGAACACTAATAGTTTTGGTGTCCTACCTCACAGAATTAATTTAAACCCCTTGTGAATCAGTGGCATTATCATGTTATGTAGTTATGAGGAACGAAGTTCTCTTTGAAGTAGGCAGCATGAACTTACAATTGCTTACGCTTCCATCTTTAGTTTCTATCATTTAAGCTATGTCCACCCTGGCTAAAGCATAATCATACAGACACCTCAGAAAATTTCCATGCTACCATTGCACAAGTTTAGTGATTTTATGGTTTTTTTTTTCCAAAAAAAAAAAATCTAAATAAAGAGGCAAATAAAAGTGACTTTCAAATCATTTGAAAAGCATCGTGCTTATTTGTCCAATACAGACTCAAACTTAAATTAAATGCTATCATTATAATCTTCAAACTTCTGCAATAAAATTAAAATTTCTATATAAATGGGTCTTGTCCATCGAACTATACTTCGTAATCAGCAAGAGAAAGGTACTTTTTGGAGAACAAAACATTTGGTTATAGTTCCGCATTACCTGTAGTAAAGACAAAGCCTTGTGGTGTTAAATCTGGCTCTAATAACCTACAGCACAAAATTTTGACCCAAGATCTAAATGATGATAAATCTGATCTTAAAAAATTCAACCCATCGGAGATTAGTTTTTAGAGAGTAAATATGCTGTTGAGAAATTCTTTCAACGACCTTTTCTGTTTTGTGACTATCTGCAAACCACCCCTTTTCTTGGGTCATAGTGACTCACCGACATGTCGGACCGGCCTCCTTTACGTCCATGCTACCGTTTCAGTACCCAGGGATTTCTGAGGCAGTAAGTTTGACTTCATAAAAACAGTAGATACTTGAACCTTTCAGTGACAGTTTTTAAATCTGTAAACTCAAGAATCACATTTAGCTTAGCAACTATAAAAACATTGAGACTGGCATTTCGAGCCGGAATCTCCTTGTGCTTTTAAAAGCAAGCTGCTTTTGAAACTTTTTGGTATTTACCAGCCATTTGTATTTCCCTTGTAATAATAAAAGAATATATTTAAAATCATTTTAAGGTTATGTGTCCTGGGGGGGAGGGGGAGCTTATCAATACTTTTTTTGGAAACACGGTATAAATCGATTCTTTTCCTTCAGTATTTGGAATAGTAGAAATTATATCTGGTCCCGCCTAAGATCAACCAACATCACTTCTCATTACGTATAACACTGAAATTTACAGACATCCCTGAAAAGTTTTTGATTAAGTAAACGAGTGAATCACAGTGGAGTCTCAATCAGTTAACAGTGTAGATCCATTAAAAAAAAAAAATGAATACTAAAAGAAAATCTTCAAGGAAAAAAAAACAAAAACCTCCTAAGAATTAAAATCATGTTATGTAGTCACCGATTCTGTACTTGTATCCCCTGACTGATCGGACTCCTCCTTCTCCGTGTTATAAGACATTTCTGCTAAAACCTTCACGCCAAGTTTTCAGGACACTTGCATGAAGAGCTATGCTACTGTAGCAGCTAAGGGAACAGAGCGGCACCGTTTCTTTCCTGACAGACTTCATATCCCAACACCAGCATCGAGTCTCGCTCCTCTGCTCCTCTGCATTCACCAGCATCTTATCAGGAGACAGAACTTGCTGTGCACATTGATGACAGCTGATCCTCCTACCCCTCCCCTCTGCCTCAATAGGAGGTTATCATCAGTTTGTTATTATCAGCACTGGCCTTTCTCTCTCTCAATCAGAAAAGTTGTGGTGTACTTAAAAGGAGGAGGGGGGGTTAAAAACCAAGAGTCTAAAGGCACAAAGTCGCATAGCTGCTCTAGTTGGAGTTTGTAAACAGAGAACAGGTTGAATTTAGGTAATCCCAATCTATGAGAGTAAAAAGGCATCCACAGCAGGCTTTTTATCCAGCCGGCTTCTTTGAGACCCTTTATGGGTTTGAGGTCTACAAAGTATACACTAAAATACCCATACTTCAAAAAGCAATAAGGCAAATAGTATAATCATTATTCCCAAAGTTACAATGGTAGTGTCGGCATACATAGTATAATTTAGTTACAATGTGTGGTACTGTTTCTATTATATAACCATATTAACTGTTTATTTCCTACATAATTATATATTCAGCTGGGTTTCAGTTGAACACAAAACCATCCTTGTACCACCACTGATAGTTGGCAATAGCTCTTTGATAGCAGTTTTTATTCTGCTGTAGAAATGATCCTTGAACTGAAAAAAAGTCCACAATCCAATATCCAGTCATTAAACACTATCATATTTGTGAAGAGCTTCTTCCAACTTCTGGGTCACTTTTTGGAAAAATATTATCTGTTGTTGTAAGAAATGCTGCATCTGTGATTTAAAGTCTCTTACTCGAATTTGATGGAAGTGGTGAATTTCAGCCAAAGTGGCAAAGGAAATAGTGTTACAGCGATCTTGAATGCCATCAGCTTTTTGGACCTCCATCTTCCCTTCTTCCACGTGTCGCCTACTCTCCTTTACTTTGGTAAGAGCTCCTGTAGTTAGAAATAATAATAATTAATTCATTTAAAATATGCGCACACACATCCCAAAGACATAGCTGTTCAACAGAATTTGGGGCATTTGAAAAACTTGCCTATGTTATTCCAAAGTCCTGTGGAATTTAAAGTGATGACTGAAATTACTCATTTTAAAAAATGAAGAAATCTGGCTAACTTCCTGAAAAATTGTAACATTGGGACAATTTCACTTTATCAAACTAGCACTTGCTATATTGACCAAGTCTCTATAGTATCTGTCATCTCTTCCAAGTAGAGGTGCTATAAATAATATAATAAACTGCAAAGGCATTGTCCTTAAAAAGACAAATCAAAAAATTCTAGGAACCAGCAAATGGTGTAATGGCTACAGCACTGGACGCCCCCACGTAGTGGACCAGGATTCCAGTCCAGGATCCAGTGGCTTGAAAGTCATGCCAGGCACGTGTGCGGGCATGCCCACCCAAAATCCCAAGAGGAGAACAGAGAAGGGACCGGGGCATGGCCATTTCCATGGGAGGTGGTTTCTCACTTTCTGTCTCTCTCTCTCTGTCTCTGGCGAGTGCACATGCCCTATAGCAAAAATCTCTCTAAAAAAAATTATGCCATTTTCACATGCTTAAAAGGGGTGAGGCCACTAATCCACGTACATTAAGAGAATGGTACAACATCTCATAGGCCCAGCTGGTGGTTTAACTCCCAGGGCAACCTGTCCTCACGCTTGGTGAGGGGGGACATGCCTACTTGGGAAGCTGAGACAGGAGACTTGTGACAGAAAGAGATAGTCTTAAAAAAAGAAGACAAAACAAACACACAAACAAAACCAATACCCCATAAAGAATGCAAACCCACCTCCTCAGAAAGTCTCGTTAAAGGATTAGCGTAGAGACTCCGGAACCAGTCCCTGAGACAAGCTCGACCGACCTGAGGCTGTGTTTTGGAAGTCGTGCCACATTGAGACGGGGCCTGGCAATGTTGCCGGCCTACAATTAGAGGCCCCCTCAGGGCTGGCCAGGCACACATCTTGTTCATCTCAAATAAATGCGCAGCTGCAACGCTTGGCACAGAGCGTGCTGATGGTGCAGGGGTGCGCTGTGCACACGTGCCCGCTTCTACCTCCGCCTTCAATCAGGGGACCATGTCCGGAGTACTCGGCCTTGAGCAGTAAGAATCACTTTTTCTTTCGGAGTTTTAAGTGTGCCCTAAGGATGACTTGGGAACAACACAGAAGTGCCATTGCTACTTGTCAAGGAAGATATCCAGAGGGTGTTTCAAGGCTGGGCTGGGAGATCGGTCATTCTGACAGGTGCCCCAAGAGGAAGCACAGTCCTCCCAAGACGCAAAGGCTCAGGGTGTGGATGGGGTAGGAAATGTGGGCTATTCATAGCATCCCGGAACGAGCAGGGATAAAGCGCCCATCACTTCAACACTAGCTTAAGAATTCAAATGTCCTAGCTCCCCTACCACTCTTCTACTACGCCACGCTGACGGCCACGACAAAACAGTGAGAGCAACAGGGGGCACATGGCTGGGGCTGAGACGGCACTCACTGAGCGGGGACGGGAGGCTGGAGAGACGAGGGAGGAGGCTGAGGGACTGCTTCTGAACAGCAGTTTTACCTCATGGCGCATGACACAAAGCAAGAGGCCCTATTTCTAAACTTCTTCAAATTGACTATAAAATATTAACAAAGGATAAACCAGGTATTAAATAAAGCCCTTAAGGGTAAGTCAGTGTGCTTTTTTTTTTTTTTTTTTTTTTTGCACATTTCAAAGACCTGAGAAATGAAAACCAACAACGACAAATTTTATATATACGTATGTGTTCGTATATAGACTCACATATTTCTTTTCATTTATTTAGTCTAAATGAGATCTTTAGGTTAAAAGCAGCAGAACCTTGGAGTAAGGAGATCACCCAGGGACAGGAGGTGCACCAAGCGCCAGGCTACACACCCATTTCCACTGAACCCCACCAAACAGAAGTGTGCTCTGCTAGATCAAAAGCAAGAAGCCATCCCCATTCTTCTTTTTTTAAGAAGCTTTTCCCTTAGGGCACGTAACTCACCAGAGAGAGAGACAGACAGATAGAGACAGACAGAGACAGACAGTGAGAGGGAAAGTGAGAAATCACCCCCCCCCCCGGGGGGAATAGTCATGCCACAATCCGTTCTCCTCCATTCTCTTCCCGGGACCTTGGGCACGCATACTCATGCCCGGTGTGCGTTTCCCCAGTGTGAGTTTCAAGCCACTGGCTCCAGGACTCGAACTGCAGACAGCTATATGGAAGTCCAGTGACATAATCACTACACTATCTGCTGGTCCTATCCCCTGCCCCCGTTCTACCAGGAAGCTGCAGCTGACAGTATGGTACTTTCCTACTATGGCTGACGGTGCCTGAAAAGCACAGGTTGGCCTGCTTACAGTTTGCATTAAAAAGAGAAAGACTTCCCTGTCAAAAAGGAAAAACAAATGTTTTCTAGTAACAACATTTATCTTCATTATATTTGCACAGGTTTCACATTTTACATGCAAACATTGAAGCTGAAAAGACCAAGAAAGTATAGAACATAGCATTAAAGGAAAAATTTTCAAAGACAATGGAGAATATAAAACATAAATTTTAAAATGGCAAAAAAGGGAATGACTTTTTTTTTCTTTTGAGATTTTTTTGTTATAGGGGCATGCACTATCCAGAAAGACAGACATAAAGTGAGAAATTATCCACCCCCCTGCCAAGGGGAAGGCCATGCCACAATCCCTTCTTCATTTTCCTCTTGGGATTTTGGGCATGCATGCACATGGGCCTGGAGTGAGTTTCAAGTTGCCAGGTCTGGGACTTGAACCAATCAACTATCTGGGAGTCCAGTGACATAATGGTAGAACACGTGGGAGTCCAGCAATGTAACCATTATGCCATTTGCTGGTCCCAGAAGTGGCAAATTAAAATAGAAAAGACTTATGTGATGTGTCTATTTTTTCATCTGATTTCAATCCAAGGTACCCAAGGAGACCGGAAGGCCAATGCTCAGACACTGTGGACCAACCTGCCAGACCCTGCCCTGCTCAGACTCGGACACATGTGGCTGGCAGTTGCCACCTGCGTTGGTAATATTACGAAAGTCTCACTTGCTCTAGTTTATTAGACCCTGGCTTTTAGTCAGATACTTCAGTACAACACCAGAGACTCTGAACCCTGGCCCTGAGGTGTGTGAATGTCAACTACATTGCAACTTGTCAGATTCCATGTTAAATCGCCCTATTTTTAGGAACCACATTCTAATACGCAGAATTGCAAATGTGCACCTAGAGCAACTAACTAATCTGAAAATGAATGTCTGGAGTTTTCACAACCTACCATGGTCAGTATGCAAACTCTCACATACCACAGTAAGTATGGAAAGTTCTATGAGACCTAAGGAACTTCTGGCATTTAATACCTTCAAGCTTTCTAAGTGTACATACTAAAGGAGCCAAGGAAATTTTAAGACCTGTTTTTCACCCAAGAATGAATTTAGTAAGTAAATAAAAGAAATGCTGCTTTTTAAAATTACATTCATATATATTTTTAATTGTCAGAGAGTATGTACACTCACCAGAGACAAAGATGGGGTTGGGGAAGAAAGCATCCCCCAGTGGTCACACCACAATGCCTCTTCCTCCATTTCTCAATCCTGTGAGGAATCTGGGCATACATGCCCAATGTGGTTTTCAAGTCACAAGGGCCAGGATTCAAATCACAGTCAGCCATGTGGGATCTGGCTCCTTTAACCACTGGGCCATAGAGCTGGCCCACAATTTTTTTTTTTTCTAAAGTCCCCAAAAAGGTTAGGCTCTTGGCAAAGAATTTTAATTCATTGAACAAACATTGATGGAGAGCTTCACACGTACAGAGCGCACTGCTAAGACAGCAAGATCCAAACCTGGAGGCATTTAAGCCCATGCCTCTGGAGGTTCACAAGAAAGTCATATCACAAAGCGGCCTCTGGACAGGCACAAAGTGACACGGGATCACGAACTGTGCAAGTTGTGTAAGTCTGCAGGGGAGCTGGTCAGGCTTTCTCTAGGATGACATGTGAATATTGCCACTGAGAGAGCACTCAGAGGGCCTGCGACACGCCAGAACTGTGCGAAGGATGGCGGCTGGTGCTGGTGGGCAAGGAGCAGGAAGAATGTACCAGTAGTAAATAATGTATTCTAGGCCCGTTCATACTCTACCTCTAACCTTCACTACAACTGTATTAATACAAGACGGGACTCCTAGTTGACAAGGAAATTGAGTTAGTTACTCAACATGTTTGAGCCAGGTAACAGAGGCAACCTAAGTGTACCTGATTTCAAAGCCAACACTACAGTCAGTCAGAAGGAAATTGGAGCTTGAACAGGCAAGAGGGCAAGGTGGGCCTAGGTGAGGGCAGGGCTTAGTGGGTAGAAGGCCTAGGAAGTAGGGGTCGCTGCTGTCTCTCCTTCCTGGGCCACAGCCTCCAGGCTTCTTCAGGTCCCGGTGCCACTTCCTTTCTTGCCTTACTTAACATGTCTTGAGCTTTTGTTTCAGCATGTAATTCCGAAGGCACTGTGAGTATATCAAACAAACTATTTAGGCTTTCAAAACTTCTCTCTAGAACCTTACTATAAGCTCATTCAATGGACTAACTGCACAAGTAAAGTCCTTTAATGCTTGTAATACTTCTGATTTTATCTTTCTAGCAACACAATTAGGGTACCACAAAACAAAATACTGAAAAGCAACACGTATTTCATTATTTTAGAAATCTAAGCCCACACTTAGATTGGGGAGAGGAGTTTCCTCATTTCTTTCTTTCTTTTGTATCTATTAGGTCGCTGGGAAAGTCATTACCTATTTTCCTGTTTTGCTATGCAAAGATGCATCATGAACGGGACTAGCAGGTGGCATGGCATTTGAGATGTTAGACTCCCACACGGTTCAAGTCCTGGACCTGGTGGCTTGCTTTCCCACTTTCTCTCTCTCTGGTGAGC